TACACACCTTTGTTACCAGGGTGCGTGTAACCCCGTTACAACAAATCAATGAAGCTAGTTTTCTTCCACAGCTCCTTTTCTTGGACGGAAAAGTTATTCTTGGCGATTCGCCCAACGCTCTTCAAAACCACACCATGCGTCCCTTAAAGCACCTGAAAGCAAAGCTACACAAGAATGAAGGTTTTGAATATCATCTCTCGGTGATGCGAACAACAAACGACAAACGAGCACTGAATTGGGATGATCAAGGCTCGAATCTCACGACTTTGAAATTGATTTTGTGGTATTTTACTGGACGAAGAATATCGTGAGGCTGTTGGTGATCCTCTTGACATATTATTCATATTGACATTGGCGACGAACGTAATCATGAACCTCTGATTGAGAATGGAAAGTTGTAGACGCTACGGAATATCAGGAAGATGAAGGCAAGAGAGACGACGTAGATACCTAGGGTTTTACTAGATGTAAAAAAACTTGTACCGCTTTTTTAATACAGCTGAAAGTTGCAGCGAGGTTGCCATAGTTCTCTGCTTAGAGGAAGCACTTAGGTTACCGACCTTACGCTCTACACTAGAACCAGTACGAGCGGTACGGACCGCAATCCGCTACCATCAAACGTACTCAAAATCTTAACGAAGTCAAACAAATTCTTTCGCTCAAACTTGAAGCTGAATTTATTAGTTTTATTTGCGGCAGAGTCGCCTATATCTAAAATGATAGGGCTTTTCTAATAGCCACACCATTGTGTGATGACACCGACTTGTGTAATCCACACAATTGTATGTTGAGACCATCTTGTGCAACCCACTCTTCGCAAAAGTAGCCTGTAGCGCCAAACTTCCTTTTTAAAACCAAAGTGATTCTGTCGAGCTTAAACTGCGCCTTCGCTGCCTGATACGCCAGCTCAAAGTCGATCTGCGCTACTATAGCTCGTTTCGCCGCACCTGCATCTTAGACTCGAACTGTTTTTTGCTTCAGCTTAAGACGGCTACACTCAAACTCCAGAACTCTCTCACCCGAAATCAGCAAAGCTTCCGTGATGGTCGGCTCCTGCTTCCTACGCTCGGACGTAAAGTTGTTGCCTTTAGGTGCCACTGCTGCAGTTGCCGCTCTTTCTGACAGTATTAATGGCGGAAATTTTCGGCGCTGCACATTGTCAGAGTAGCATGTTAAAATACATCTTTCATGAGGACTTAAATGAGATCGGCGTCACTTATACTGGGCGCGTGTAGAGCATATGACTGGGTGAAATCGATAGAAGCTGAGCGATGTCTCGTGTTGCAGATCAGCGAGTTGATTAAATGGCATCAAGGTGGCGCTTTCTACCGCTTTTCTACCAATTATATCGAATCAGCGTCCCGACCATGTGATCAGCTGTTTCAGCTTTTTCAACCACTAAAGTTTTAGCGTTGAATAAAATTTGAACTGTGTTGCAATAAGGTGAAATCGGTAATTTGTGTCATACTTCCTTATAAAAGATGTCATTCTTCTAGACGAAAAGATATTCTAGATGATAAATTGCTTGTACGAAGCATTTAGTCAATGGGTCGAACGTGATTTTGTGATGGCACGACACTAGTGTATGCTGCTGCAGACCCATGCCTATGTTTAAAAAAATCATTATTGCATTACATTAAGCACTTTGGCTAACAGCTGGGAGTATGCAGCATTCTTCGTGCGATTCCATCATCTCACTAGTTTGATAAGAAAGTGATTGTCAATGACTTACGAATGCTGGTAAGCTTGACACCATCGAAGAAGTCCTGATAAAAATGTCATTGGTCTCAATATAGACGCCTAACCTGCACTACAGTGAGTTTGAATAAAAAAGGTCAAAATTTAATGGTCGAATATAATAAAAAGATTTGTTCATTGCTACTTAGAGGATAGCAGCGGTAAAGCTAGCAGTGATTCTTACGGAGAAACTTATCTTTTCTTGCAATTCTTCCTAAGTCGGGTGCAAACTATCCCGCGCAGATGTTTGCTACCATATTGATAGTGAGACTGAGGATAATTGTACATGTAATTGAACTCGTCTGTGATTATTCATCCACAGGGGAGTCTGAGAAATAAAGACGTAAATGACAGTGTGTCTTAAGCCTTTGCTCTGTAGATGCAGCAATTTCAAAGGCACGAAGCTATTGACGTTGCGTCACAATTCCCGTTAAACTCTTCTATCGACTTTTGAAAATGACTTTATCTATCAAGGCTGAAGCCCGCATAAATCGTTTCGTGTAGAACTTTGAAGCATGCACTGACGTAAGGCTACCACCATCAATACATTGTAATTGCAGTAGCAGAAACAGGAATAAGATCGCTTCAAGCGAGCAGTATGAAAGGAACAAAAGTTCAGCTCGAATGACGATTGCATAATACATGTCAACACAATCAAATCGGTGTAAATGATATCATTTATTGACTCCGGTCCGCGGCACACTGCGTAATAACCTAAATCAAATAAGCTTTTCGGATTCGAGCACGTTGTTGTCTTCATCAGCCCCATTTACTTCAAGTTGCAGTTATTGAGTGCTTAAGCTGTTGTAGATTGGACCAGCTCATCCCATCGCTTTGGATAAAAATATGCTACGGTATAATCTTAAACAATTTGTCTGTGTTTGATGCTGGTACACATCCAGCTAGATGAAATCTTCTATGTACAAATATTTGAGATATCTGCTCTCATCAAACAGATGTCATAGAATAATTTGGAAATACATGACTAGCCGGTAGAGAAATCTGCAAATCTGCTGATTCCCACCAGTCAAAACACCTGGAATCAGCCTTGTAGTGTGTTAGAGCAAGACGAGAACCAAATGATTCAGAAG